AAACAGAAAACAAATAGAGATCTCAAAAGCAAGAAAATCATAAAAACCTTTGTTATCTCAGCTGACTATTTAGGACATAGTCAAGCCACGAGTTGTTGTGAGATATCCTTCCTCTTTCTTGTCTTTTAAGCACGCATAGCACGCTGCTACTTTCTCTCATTTGGATATCACTTGTGTCCATTCACTTGTCCCAACCCGATGCTTAAAGAAACATTATCATGGTTGAGGACACAATTAGCCTAAACATCTCTCCCATGTTATCCATCTACGACCCATGCAGCCATCTCCCAATTCCTTGGATGTCACTGGCAGACCTACTACCAGCTTGCAACCCAAAGATTGGGCATTATTGCCGACTTGCTGCCACCATCGAGTTTCCTTCTCTTTGCAGCTCTCGGTCGAGATCTCCAATCCAATAGAGATGAGTGTGAACGACCCATTTTTGTAACAACACTTGAAATTAGTGCCCCACAACTTCCACTTACATATTATACCCAAGCTTTCCCCATATGGACATGTATTGGTTGAAAAATTAACCCATGAATAATTAAACTGAACTTACTTTTCCCGTTTCTCTTCACAAGACCAACACAAGAGGTGCGAACATCATGCAACTCCTTCTTCTTCTGGGATTGACTTAAATTGAGCCCAAAAGCCACGATTCTTGAAGGCTCAAACTAATCTAAGATTTTTGCTAGTTGAGTATCTAAAGACAAAGATTCAACTACATAATGTTCATATGACATCTTATCCTTTTTAAAGTTTGCAATCCTCTTTAGAAAATCGTATTCTCGAGGATCCAAGGTCGAGAGGGAGAAATATGACCTTGCTGCCACAAAATCTATGCAATCACTCTCTCTAGTCTCCACCCATCCTTTCCTCCTGAAAGGCCCAATTTATAGTTGACCTTTCATCGAACAGCTTGCAAATACCACCATACTCACCACCCTTCACGTCTCATCCCCCAAAGCTTCCTGGGCACATAAATATGAGTTGAAACCGACGTTAATAGTCTCTCTCAGAACATCTTTCCCTTGGATAACCATGGTACTAGAACCTACTCGCTTATCATTAATGCTTGACACCCCCACTACCATTTCATGCATGACGAGGTCCTAATTCGATGAATCCAATCAAGTACCCATACGACTATAAACTCCTTCTCAAAATTTGATAGTCGTATGGATACTAAATTGGCTTCGTCGAACATGACCTCTTATATAAACTCCTCTATTTCATCCTCATTGTGCGTATGTGTTTTATCCTATGTTCTGATTTTGCATACCTATAGATGGTTTGATCTAAGTGGCAAAGATGAAGAGATTTGTTAAATGTTTAGCGTCCCTTCCCCTCGTATTTTCCTTCATCTATGTCTTGATGCAGGTTTGGCTCCTTGTCCCGTGCCTTTGGTTGGTGGGAGATAGTGATGCTTGAAGCTTTTGGTGGCATTGGTTGTTACCTAGAGTGTCATCTTGTGGCTGGAGTTTGGGGAGATTGATTCAAGTTGGTACTTCCTGAGTTGGATTATGGTCATGGTGAGTCTTTTAAATCAGTCTTCTTTTTACCTTGTTGTATGATGTGTCTAGACTATTTTTGGGGTTTGTCTCATTCGTTATCTTAATGAATTATTTAATAATTGATTCGGTTGTGGTTTGTTGTACAAACTTTGCACTTCACGCCTGCGAAACACAGTAACAATCCTCTCATTTTATTTTCTCTCCCTTTGTTCTGCCAGCAAAGTTTCCTTAGTTATTGCTTTGCAACATCGAACACTGATATTCCCTTCCAGCCTCTAAATATTTTCGCCTAACTGCATTAGTTGTCTGGTTGCATTAACTATTTTTTTCACTTAATTTTTTCCAGTCTCTGTGATTCTCGTGCCAACTCTTGGTTTGATGATAGTTTTGATTTTTTTGAAAAGTTCACCAACTGCTATTTTTTACATAAATTTTGTATAACATTTTTTTGGACATTAAATTTTGTAGAAACATTTAATGTAAAAAATAAAATTTTGTACAGAAAGATTTCATATAGAAAGTTTTTGTGCATATTTCTTTTCACCTAAAGTTTGTGTACAAAAAAAAATTCTAAATAGAGAAATTTTGTACAAAATAAAATATTTTTTTTCTCAAAACTTCGATCTATTCCCCAGCTCTACCAACAACCACATTGTTGCCACCGAAATTTTAGATAACATTTCCTGCCACATCTACTCAGAGCAAGACAACTCAGTTGAGTTTGTCCAATTGTCCCTCCTGGGCAATGGCTGAAACTCGATCGAGTTTTTCGTTCTTAATATGGGTTAGTTCCCTCCTGGCGAGTTCTTTGTCGTAACCCATAACGCCCAACCTAATCGGATACCACTAGAAACTAAGGTTTAGGATGTTCTGGATTGGGTTATCGAATTGGTAATTATGAAATAGCAATTATGGATTCATATATAGAATGAGGGATTGGATTGAGAATTAAGGATTAGGGACTGAAGAACATAATTGGGGAAGAACAGTTCGCGGCCTTGATAGGGAAGAGAGATGAGATTTTGGAGGATTTGGGATTACATTTCTTAATAATTTCTTTAATTAATTCCCAAAAAATTTAATAATAATCCTAATACTACTCGACTACTATGAACCATATTAATAAATAGGGTAAATATAATACATTAGCCATAACTATTAAGCAGCGGGGAATTATAGCCACAACTATCAAAATACAAATTATTAGCCAACCGTTAAGTCTTCATTAACACTTATGTTAGTAATGATGACTAAGCTTTTACGATGTTGAGTCGGCTCCCACGTGGCAGTCATCATATCATATCTTTTACGATGCTGACATGGCCTTCACCATTAAAAATTTGAAAACAGTAACGGGTTGTTAGCCAAATCTTCACCCGCAACAATAGTTATGGTTAATAATTTGTATTTCGATAGTTGTTGCTATAATTCCCTGCTGCTTAATAGTTATGGCCAATATATTGTATTTACCCTAATAAATATCTTAATAGACAATATAATAACAATGTTGGAAACCACGATTTTCATCATCACGGTGGAGCACTGTAATGATGGATGACCTCTCAGAAAATCACCATGATCCACACCAAAAGCAAAACTGTGCAAGAAGGCCCAAAGTGAACAATCTCTTTGTAAGGAAAAGTGATATGATCCAAATTGGCCAATTCTACGAGCCGCAATTACTTGCCAAAGAAGCCATCAAGGTTGGAAAGAAAAGAGGCAGAATTTGGCCAAGTATTGGAGCAGTTTCGAGATGCCTACTTTGGAGGCTTGGTTCTCACAATTGTTTCGATGAAAAGTCAAGATTAAGGGTTTTTTTTTATTGAAGATGGAGTGTTTATCTACATGTTGGAGGCATTGGTGGATCCATAACAAGTCATTAAGGTCATTTTCCAAAGCCTTAAAGTAGCCCTCTCAAAACAGGAAAACTGTCTGAAAAGGGATGTCTAGAAACTTGACTCTGAAGCATACTTTGGAGCTCCATTTGAGAAGCGTGGATGAGAGTCGAGTCCATATCATATTTTTTACGATGCTGACATGGCCTTCTCCATTCAAAATTTGAAAACAGTAACGGGTTGTTAGCCAAATCTTCACCCGCAACCATAGATATGGTTAATAATTTGTATTTCGATAGTTGTGGCTATAATTCCCCGCTGCTTAATAGTTATGGCTAATATATTGTATTTACCCTAATAAATATCTTAATAGACAATATAATTACAATGTTGGAAACCACGATTTTCATCATTACGGTGGAGCAGTGTAATGATGGATGACCTCACAGAAAATCACCATGATCCACACCAAAAGCAAAACTGTGCAAGAAGGCCCAAAGTGAACAGTATCTTTGTCAGGAAAAGTGATATGCTCCAAATTGGCCAATTCTACGAGTCGCAATTACTTTCCAAAGAAGCCATCAAGGTTGGAAAGAAAAGAGGCAGAATTTGGCCAAGTGTTGGAGCAGTTTCGAGAAGCCTACTTTGGAGGCTTGGTTCTCACAATTGGCTCGATGAAAAGTCAAGATTAAGGATTTTTTTTATTGAAGATGGAGTGTTTATCTACATGTTGGAGGCATTGGTGATCCAGAACAAGTCATTAAGGTCATTTTCCAAAGCCTTAAAGTAGCCCTCTCAAAACAGGAAAAACTGCCTGAAAATGGATGTCTAGAAACTTGACTCTGAACTCAATTTGAGAAGTGTTGATGAGATTCGAGTCTAGAGGCTTCTACCACATGAAAGTAAGTATGTTTGTCTACAAAGTCAAGGCATTGGATGAAGAAATGGATATCTGGAAGGCCACGAATGAAGGACTCAAATATCGTCCAAAGTCACAAAGTTCTGCTTTGTAAAAAATAGAATTTGTTTTCCTTGTTCAATTAGGATTAGTTTCTTTTGCTACTTTTTAGTTCCTTTCCGTATTAGATTGTAACTAGGACTTATGTGGCCGAGAGTTAACCTAGCTATGGCCTATTTAAGCTTTCTATTTCGTTGTGATCGTTACTTTGATGAATTGAAACCCTTTAGGTTTTTGCAAGTTGTGTACTTGTGTTGAGTTTAGTGGATTCCAAACTTGTTGAGCTCTTGTATCGATCAAGAACATGTTGATCGTGGTCGGGCATCATCCTTACATCAATCAGGCCTTTCTCCAAGTGTGGAATTGCACATTTGGTTCCGTTGATCTCTAACACCCAAGAACAATATGTTTTGGTTCAAGTTTCATACAATCAATTCAGGCCTTGAATTATTCGATTAAGCTGCGTACTCATAAACATACAACTCCCCAGGGGTCGTATTAAAAAGGGGTTGTGTTGTTACAAAGGGTAACACAGTCTCTCCGTGTCTCTCTTATATGCTAGTGGGGCTAATCCCAACTATGAAGTTGAGTTACATAGGGGGTATAAACTATAATGCAACACCATAGACTAATTCCATATTGACAAAAGTACGAGAGCATCCATGGTTTATTAGGTATAATTCTAACTGAACTTACAATATGCATTTTCGGGTGAAACAGATGAGTTACTATAAGCACTGTGAAATTAATGAGCTCATGGTGGAGCAGTGCTGAGATGGGTGACCTCTCAAGGAGTCACCATGATGTTCCTAAAACTAAATCATGCGAGAATAGACAAAAAAATTACAATAACTTGGTTAAGAAAATGACTGGGATGCTAAAAAATAAGAAGAGAAAAGTATTAAACGCTATTGATACTGAATTAGACAATTAGTACATGTATATACTGAACAACATTTGTTTTGCTTGCTTCTTCTTATACTTACAGTACATGGTCAGTCCATCACGTTCAAACCTCCAAAAATCACGCACAATAAAACACAAAATTAAAAGATAAAAGGAAAACAACAAAAAAACCATTCATAATTCTTTCTTAACAAATGGCGTCAAACCTATGTTCCTCATCACATTTTATACTTATATACCTCATCTTTCACAAATGTGCAATTTCCCTTCCCCCCTCAAACCTTTTCTCATTGTCACTTATGACTTCTTCCTCGTCATGGAGGTTGGGTTCCCATCAAACAAACCTTCAATCAAGTTTTCAATATCCTCTGGCTGATACTTTATATACTTTTCCGTTTGTCTCCCATGCGTCAAACATTGTTGAAACCTCCCTAGAAACGACCTGTATGCTGGAATAACCACCGCTGACACTGACACCCGTAGCTCAGACTGCATTTGTTCGTCGCTCACCACCCATGTACTTTGGGTTTTGTGTATCTCCTCGATTGCATTATTAAACATTTTGAACCTCTCCTTGACCACTGCCTTCGCCATTTTCCCATTTACTTGAATCCCATCATGCTTCAAACATTGCAAAACTCTACCCCAAGTCTCTCTAGTATACCCTTTATGGTACTTTCTGAGATCAGACGACCGTCTTCGGCACCACGTCACTCCCATCATGTCGTGAATCTCTGTCGAACTCTTGATCTTTTGCAAGATGTACCTATGTTTGAAAATAAGGGGCGAAATATAAACCAAGTTCTTGATCGTTTATGAGAAACACATATATACTAAGCAAACTAATGATCCTCATTACCATATGCACCAATAGTTTTATATTATTTGTAATTTATCAATACCTGCCGTTATTCATGAGAAAAATGTTCCTCAATGCGGGATCTTTGTATAAATTTGATTTCATCTCTAGATTTTCATCAAGAAGATCCATCACCGTGTTTAATTGAACCGAAAATGGTGATGTTTTTGGTGTCCCGTCTTCATTCGCTCCTCCGGCAGACCCCGACCTAGATTTGGATCTAGAGTCGTCCGATTTGGAAGATGATGATTCCCAATTCTCTCCGTCAGTTTTCTGCTTCTGTAAAAATACCTGCTCGAGGGTGTCTTTATACTCACATGCATACTTAAGGTAATTCATGGTGTATCGTGTCAAAGGGTGGACGGCGCCGCTTGGAACCGGAGTCCTACTAACGTCACGCCTTATCGAGTTTTCAAGATCACAAAACATAGAGACGGCTGCTTGTCCTAACCGAATGATCGTCTCGTAGATCTCTGATTTTATGGTGGAGGAGAGATTCTCGATCTCTGGTCCAAGATCGCGGAGAGTTTCGTACAAGTCGAGGAACTTGAAGAGCTTCTCTGCGGGCATTTAGTGAGGGTGATCGCATTGGCAAACTTGAAGAATCGATCAATTATATTGGAAGCTAAGTCCCCAAAGATCTCCGTGTAGATGGAAGGGTGGTTTTGGAAGACGGCGTTGCAAAGATTTCGCTCTGCGGAGAAGAGCACTGAGGAGCAGCGACGAATAACGTCGATTGCACCAGCAATTTCCCCCTCCAAGGTTTCCCAATCCATCTTGTTGATTTCATCAGGGCTGAGGTTGACATGGCCGTATTTTTCCAATTTGTTGTTGAGAGCTGTCCGTCGAACAGATCCGTAGACCAAACAACATTCTGATTGGTAGCCGGAGGAGATCATTGCAGCGGCAATTTTGCTCATATTATAGATCTCCTCGGGTTGGTACCCTGGGAAATCGTCCTCGTTGTTGGAGTTTTCCGAATCAGAGATTTGATTGTTCGATTCGTGGTTGTTGCGTGAAAAGGATGATTGTTTGGCTGATATGGGAGGAGGAGGACCGGTGCTTCCGCCACAGGTCGGGACCGGCGTTAGCGGAGACGCCAGAGGAGGAGCGCTTGAAGGAGTTGAGAACGGTGCGGAACTCGCTATCAAGGAAGGACATTGCAAGGTGTTGGATGGTGCTAGCCCGATTGAAGGTGGATGCCAGGTCAGATTCAGCGGTAGAGAAGTCGCCAAGGATTTTGATTAATTTCGATAGGCGGTTGAGATGAGCAACGAGGGAGTTGTCTTCTTTCTCGTCATGGCCGAATTTAGAGCTGGATGTGTCATAATTGCTGATGGTGGACTCGACACATTTAAAGAGCGATTCGACAGCATTGGGGACTGGTGGGGGATCAGACTTGGTGTCATGAGATTGTGAGAGGAGATCGAGGAATTTGTCGACCTCGTCTAGCGATTCTGAAGAAGGCGAAAAGGAATGGTCGGTGGTCGCTGCGGAGTCGAATGTAGTGGTAGGCGAATCATGACCAGAGAGAGTGGGGATGTCACCATTGCATGTTCTAGAGAAGCTCCCAAAATTTTCAGGGAGGCGTTGCTCCATTAGTGAGGGAAAAGGAAAAAATTGGGGGAGCTACTATGTTTGGCTAAAACGGAGGGAAATCAGAGGATGAACAAGAAGAAGGGGTCATCTACTTTTCTTTACCTTTTTTTTTGTTTTGTTTTTGGCCCCCTCCTCTCTATTGTGATTTGCTTCTTTTTTCTTTTGTTTCGTTTGTGGATGATAAGGCTAAATTTTAACCGGAGGAAAAGTTTGTGAGACGGAAGGAAGAAATGAAGGAATGTATTTGGCCGTGAATTTCTCTGGTGGTTGTGTGAGGGAATTGACTATTGACCGATGAGCTGGAAAGGGGGGATTTCTTTTTATTTATAAATAATAGACATATATAATTCCTAGTTGCCTCATCTTTTTCCTATTTGAGGGATTTTCTTTCGCCTCAAGACAAATCGAAATCAATGGTATCAGTTGGGCTTCTCGTGAGGTAAAATTCCGATCCATAATGAGGCTTAATTGCGGAACTGCAATGTGCCTTTGTATTTTAGATTTTAGACGAGACTCTTTTGGGCTATCTTATAATGGGTACAACCGTAAAAATGTGTTTTACATGTTCTTAACTCACCATTACTACTCTATAAAAAAACCCCAGTAATACTTATGCACACTTAATTACTAGTTATTGTCTCACATTTATGAAGATGAAAATAATATATAGAAAATTTCATTAGGACACCATAACTATAAAAAGTGTTACTTCTATACTAAAGTATACAATATGACAATCGTAGTAATATTTTCTAAGAGATAACATGAGAAAAGTTAGAAAACACACTATACCCTCAACCCAGGAACCCCTCCTGAACAAAACCATTACAGTAGCCAGCTTACAAAATCAAAAGAAACTATCTCTAAAGAAGAAAGTGACAGGACTTTAGGTGCCATTCTATGGAAAATCCAGTGTGACGATCCTAGTATGGCGTATGAGATTTTTGTGACATCTGTATCTTGCTGCTTTCATTGACCGTAAGAGATAACGGTTAACCTAAAGATTGTGAAAATAATGTTGACTTTCTGTGACATGACAAAAATGTATCATCCACGTAGATGTAATGACAGTAAATGAAAAATAAAAAATTATATTATAATTTTTTAACAAATTTAAAATACTAAATAAAATTAATAAACAAAAAAAAAAAAAAATCCAGAATCTCTCTCCTGAACTCCTCGAGGACTAGTTCGGCCATGCTTCCAAATTTGTTGTCGATTTTTCCTCGAGACACCCAGTCCATCTTCGATGCTCGTTATCAGTGGCTCTTTGTCGCAGGAGTATGATAGTGCAAGAGTTCCGATTTTTGGGTTTCCTATCGTGGTTCGACAATCTCGCGGTGAAGAGTTCCTGCATGCGGAGCCCATCGTCAATAATGATAATCTCTTGACTAGGTTATAATGACGTGTGGGTTAAACCCCCAAACCCTTTTCTTTTGTCTTCGATATTTCAATACTGAGAAGCAACAGAAGAAAAGAACAAACAATAGGAAGAGAGACAAAATTGTTAATATAACCAACTAAAAAGGTCAAATAAGGTATTAGAGGAAATAATTAACTTAATTAATAATAAAATCAATGACAAATATTTTGAAATCAAACCCATCCACTCCCCATCGTGAAAATCACCCAACCCCTTCCGAGTGCTCTACTTCTTCCCAACACATTATACTCCATTTGAGATTCAATCTAGACATAACGAGCTCTCCATCTCCAGTAACTATGATGCAGTTGTCCCCTTCTTCGAGCGCAGGCGACCACGACTGTCATGCACTGTCTTTCGACGACTACACAAAAATAATCAGTCGTACTGCACTGCAAAAGTCGACGAGTTGGCGTCAACTTGCACTTCATGTGGCTGAGGCTTTCTGCATCATCGCTTTACATGAGTGTTCTGTTTCACATGGATGCTTCCCCGCTATTGTGATGGGTATGAATAACATGTTTGCTTTCATATATGTTGTTGCTAATGTTCCATGTTTTTCATTGAAAATTGACGAGATATCGTTCATAATGCACTACAAAAAAGACAGGCAGAAGTGACGAAATCCTTCTGACGACACTATTTTTTTGTTGGAAATAAACTTTTTGTGACGACACTATTTTTTTGTTGGAAATAAACTTTTTGTGACAAAAATTTGTTGTCCTCATAAAAACGTAAAATATTTGTGAGGAACATCAATACTCGTCAATAATGTCTAAAACATTCGTCACTAAAAGTCAATTTCGCCAATACGAGGAACATCATCTCACTTTTACTGTGGACATTTTAACTTTTGTCAAAATACAAATTATTTATGACCAAATTGTAATAGGCGTTAGAAATAATATGTTTTTCTGACGCCGAAAAGGAAGGGGAAATTATTGAATTTTATATTTTGAGGACACAAATTTTTCCTCAGAAAATATTGTTGGAAAAAGTATTATTTGTTAGGAATTTCCCTATCTCTCAGAAAATAAACCTTTTTATGAGGGAACATATTTTATCGTCGATATAAGTTTGTTAGAAAAGTGACTGGACAAAAAGCCATCACAAATGATTATTTCGTTGAAATAACTTCGTGATAAAAACACATTCTGTGAAGAATTTATATGTCGCCAATAATATGCAAACATTGTCGTCACATATAGAACATTATTGACAAATTTCGCTTGTCAGAAAAGTTTCGTTACATATGCACAATTTCTTAGTTTTAAGAGTTGAAATTAAAGGTCATGAATGTACTCTAACCATGAATCTCTTGTTCGCAAAAACAAAGTCCAGACCAGTTAGATTGATTATATTTCTTCTCTGCAATAAAAGAAGGAAGTCGAGCAGATTCAATTCCTTTCTTCCTATGCAATAAACGAATGAACTCCATCAGATTCATTCCTTTTTTTCTCTGCAATAAACGAAGGAAGTCCAAAGAAATTGATAAAGGGAAACAAAGAAAGGGGAAGAATCAAAACAATCCTTGTTCACAAACCAAGTCCAAAGATGATGGCTTTGTCTTATAATTTTAGGCATCATCTGTAAAGCAATAAAAATAATTGGCCTACATCAATTTACATGAAAGTTCATCATTTTAATTGGTTAGTACGTTAGTTTTGGTCAAGAAGGAATGGGTTCGATTCTCCAAATTGCTTCCAATTACTTAATTAATTTTTTAAACTAAACTCGGAACTCTAAACCCTAAAACCTAAATCATGAACCCTATAAAAATCATGATTGACTTGATTATATCCAGTGGTGGAGGCAGTTTGGTAGAGGGTGGGTCTCGGGACCCACCTCGTTTCGAGCTAGAACACAAACTTATTAATTAATATTTGTACTTAATTCATAATACGTAAATCCAACGCGTCATGTTCACCATTTTTACTTGTGTGACAACATATTGTAGAGAACTTTGTGACACACATATATCAAATAATTCTAATTGTTTAATATGATTTTACGAATTCATAATTTAATGTTGAGTTCTCTATTCTCAAACGAGGGAATTAGTCAATAATTTAAGAAACATATCGTAGATTATTTAAATATTAATAAAATTATTTTCAAATATTTCTATTTGTACATCGTACCCATTTCAAGTGAGATTCGTGTCGGCCCACTTATCACATCTCAGTGGCCTGATTTGTGGCTTGTTGTTTACTTAGTTTAAGTTTAGTACTTGTTTATTTGTTTTTGCCTAATTTATAGATTTATTTGTTTTATTTAATTAGAACTAAAGGGGTGGGTATTTTATTAATTCCTTGAAAATCGAAGGACAAATTATAGGGTATATAAACAACTTTAACAACAAACCCTAGGTAGCAGATGACACTGATGATGAGGCAGAAGGACACAGAATTGAACTGTCACCGCCCACCGTCATCGCTCAGTCATGGAGATCCAAATCACAACTATCGTCCTCTAAAATCTGACTAAGGTAAGTGTTTTGGAGGCTTTCGATTGAGTTGATTCTCTCAATGGGGATTTTTTCTGATATTGAGAGCGTGAAGAGAGCGTCATTATTATATTATATTTTTTTATTTATTTTAACATTATAAAAAATGATATACTGTAAAATTATTAAAATAAATTTATTTAATCATTAATAGGTTTTTCATTTACTTGAATAATACCCTCTAGGGCTTAATTGCGATAGAGTGATAAATATAATGAATTGGAATAACATTTTTTAGTATAAATTTATATTAATTTGTAATATCAATTTCATTTATATTTCTTTAAGTAGCAATTTGTTGACAATTAGAAAATAAAGATCAGCAAATAATAATAACAAAAACGATAACGTTAAATTGTTGGAGGGAGCCCAAAGATCATTTTGTTAATTAATAGGGCAGACTTAAAATATAGAACATCGAAGTTCCGCCTAAACTCAAATTCTTCATTTGGCAATGCCTCAAAGTCATACTTCCCACAGTAGTGGCCCTTCAATCTCGAGGAGTAGACTGCCATAATAGGTGTCCTGTGTGCTGGAGACATCGGGAGAGTATTGAACATTTATTCTTCAGATGCCCCCCCAGCCATCAGATTGTGGACTTTAGTGGGGTTGAGCAACTTTATTGAGACCGCCCAGACTGTTAACTTTAGTCTATGGTGGCGACATGTCATGGTCTCCGAGACCGCCCCATTCCACATTCTCCAATGCGTCTGTTTACTTTCGAGAATCTGGAAGTCTAGAAATGAATTGACCTTTGAATTTACCCAACCCCATGTCCGTTCCCTATCCAGACAGTTCTACAACCAGGTCCTCGAAATCTCCAGTCTTCTCCCAATGCTATTTCCTTTGTAGCCTCAAGATCCTTGACCCACGTGATAGTCGAAGGTGATTCCGAAGTGGTTGTCAACCAAGTCCGTCAAGGCGTTTCAGAAGACTCGATTGATGGTCCGGTGTTACGAGAGTGTCTTCAGATCCTTAGCTCTTTGTCTATTTGTATAGAGTTTAGGGCGGTACCTAGAACCGCCAACAGTGCTGCCTATAGAGTGGAGCGTAAAGCACTGCTTTTGTCTCTTGTAGAGCTAGAATCTTTTGATTTCTTGGGGGTGGCTTCTTTAGAATCTTTTAGGGGTCCTGGGTAGAATTGCAAGCTTAACTATTTTTTCTCATTGATATTACTCAGAAATATAAAAAAAACTAAAAATATAATTTAATATTTTGGGAGGGGGATCTCGAAGCTTCCCCATCTTTTCA